CCTGTCTATATTCTTTTTTTTGCTAAACAATGTAATGTTTCAGTAGTCAAAAAATTATAGTAAATACATCGTAGAACAAGCACGAGCTTATCCCCCAGTTGTAAAATTATTATAGGTTCTATTATTTTTCGAATAGCTTAAGGATGAACACAAATCTGAACCACTTGGTTGTAACTATAATAATAAGGACCCTCGACTATACCACATCTGATAGAAACGTGCTTCTTCCTACTAACAAGTCTATATATCCACTAGTTACTGCTGAGAATGCTGCACAAAGTTCTAACTCTGAAAGTTATAATAGCCAATTACACTCTCAAAACTAAGTGCAGATCCAATGGTAAGGAGAAACAAACTGTTGTACATGTAACAATTTACAGGATAATGCACAAAAACTTTGTGGAGTATTCAAACTGTAATATTAAAACTTCAAAACTGCTATTTTGTCATGTCTAAACTAAATATCCGAATTTCAAACTCTAATGATAAATTTCGATTGTTAGGCTATCACATAATGTAAACAAATGTGCATCTCATTATATTAACATACAATTAAATTGCTTTTAATATGTTTGTTACTAAAACCGAGAAAATCCATAAAACTTTTTTAAAATACCATTGAAATTTATTCAGTGTTACCTAATATTACTAGAAAATAATACAGCTAAAAACAATTAAGCAGTTCAATGTTGGTAAATCATGATATGATTTTTAATCACTACAGATGAGAACCTTATCAAGCTAAGACAATTACTACAACATTAAACCTTATGAAACTGTATATCCTCTTATTATCAAATCACTCATGGAAAAAGAATAGTTATTGACCTCTCTCAGTTTTATTAACGCTGCTGCATGACAGGGAAAGTTAGGATGCTGAATTTTTCTCAAAACTGTGTTCAAATATAAAACAATAACTTTTATAAAAAAATGATTACAAGTTATTTTGTATATAATCCAAAGAGACTTCTAAGAAAAATCTGGCTTATAGGTATCACACATAGGTGATCATAAATATTAAAATAATCCTAATAACTACAGCAAAATTACTAACTAGAAGATGTTAAAATTGTTTTACACTTCTTTCTTTCAATTAGGTGAAAAAACAAGTTTCACAATCCCTGTAAATGTCAAACTTAAAAAGTAAGCTTCACAATCACAGTAAGTAATAAGTTAAAAAAACAAGCTTCAAAACAATAATAAGCGTGCAAATAAATTAAAAAATGCAAGCTTCACGGTCACTTTAATTCTGTAAATAAACTTCAAAATGACTTCCCTGTCCTTTTATAAAAGAAAACATGCATTACATACCTATTAAGAATAATAAGGAAATTACTTTTTTCTCATACAAAATGACAAGAAAGAGGTTATCAACCCGTGAAACTCAACAGCTGTGTGCAGCATGTCAGGAGACTGTAGGTACACAAGTCACTTTAGTCAATACTACAAGGCATTCATATACTTCAATACTAAGTAAACATTTAATATACTAATTATCTTATTCATGCTTTATAAAGTGTATTTATAACACAACGAATTTCATGAACATTTTATGTGCCATTTTACCCAACAGGTTGATATTATTTTCAAACCAATCTACATACTCATTTAATGCATTCAATAATTAAAAAAAGACACTCTGTTTGTGTTCTTGTTATAGTATGTAAGCATATACTTAACTAATCACAATATTTTTCAGGTTTTTAACTCTCTATTCCTATTATTATTTCTAGTTTGTTATGAACCAAACAAAAAATTAACATTGTTTACAAACTAACAAGATATTAGAAAAATCAATTAGTATAAAATCATGAGATAGAAAATTGCTTCCATAGTTAAAACATTTCAAGTTTATATTAAATTATGGATCTCCAAGTATAAGGGTGTTATTTAGAGAAACTCATTTAACTCTTGAGCTTAAACTATGTAAAATGTTCTCTATCTGTAGTTACTAAATGTTTCTTTTAGATTAAGTTCACGTACTTTATGACATGAATAAGTTTTTATGCATCGTTAGACAACTAAAGCATTACACATATGATATATAAGCAGATGTAATATGAGTGGAGGTATGAGTCCTAAGATTACATGTTTCCATTTAATGGGACAAAACTAAGAGCTCAGCAGGATAAAGTAATGCAACTGCCTTGAAAAAGATACATAAAATGCAAGATCTAATCTACTAAAAAAACAAAGCTTTTAGAAGTTTTATATACATATTAACTTGGTGTATAAAAGAAAAAATTGTCTCAACAGGAAAAAATTGCATTGTTTTAATTTTCTCTCAGAAGCAAAAATGTTTCTTAAAACTTAACATAAGCTATTAAATTATCAAATCTTACATTTTCAAAATTATCAATAAGTTCATAAGGCCTCTAATTTTCTTATTTTACTGAAAGATTTTGTAAAAATCTGAATTTTAATAACACATTACAATACTCATACAAAAAAATTGACCTTAATCATAAAAGAGAAATACAAGCTATTGCATTATCATTTGTAAAAACTACCGAGATATAAAAAAAAGTAAATTAAGTATTAGTTTCTAGTGGCTTAGACTGGCACAGTGGTTTACAGTAGAAGTAAAATGTTTTTTTTTAGTAGTCTTAAATTGAAACAGTTTATCCAGAGTACTTATAAATGAAAACTAGTATTTAAGTGACCAATGACCATTACATAACACCAGCAACAAAAATTTACCTGTAAATACGCATCAAAAGACTACCATATTTATTGGTGTCAGTTTTGCTACTCATACATGTTAATAAAGTTTGTGACAGTTACCAGAATTAATTGGAACAAAGGATGTTTCCACTTGTCATGACAAACACAGGCTCATTGAAACAGTCTGAAGCTAGGAAATAACTTTAAGGAAACTGGTATCATATTTTGGTGTACATATCTTCCTTATGACAAAGATTTAATTTGTTTAGGTCAATATCAATTACTTCAATCTTTCCAACTCAGGCTAATAGCAAATGGAATTTGGTTAAAAAGCCAATCAACTTAATCTTACTACTCAAGTTAGCATTCTCTGAAACCAATCTCTTCTCAGGTTTGTAGCTAATGAAATTAATCTTTGAAGTTAGCATCCATCAAACTTAATCTCTGAGCTCTGGCTAATAGTCATTGAAATTAATTTTCCTACTTGTGTTATCAGCTATGACATCAATCTCTCCACTCAGATTAAGAGCAACTTCTGTATTAGGTCTAAGAAAATACACTAAAAGAAGCCTCTACAATATGGCTAACAACTTTTTCACAAATACCAATGTTAATCTTATGACAATGCTTAACAGTTACTTAAAAATCACTTTCTCTTTTGTAGTTAGGTGACACCAAATTAACCTTTTTTCTCTAGCTAAGAGCTAAAAAAACCAACTTCTCTATTCCTTGGTTACCCTGCTTGAGGCCTTCCAACTCAAAGTTTCATAGAAATTTCAGATATTAACTATTCTGAAGTATCTTACTTTTAGTGCATTTTATTCTTTGATAAAAATCTCATGCATGAAAAGTAAACAAAACTATTGGAACAAATATAACTGTTGCTTAAAATATTGCCTTGTTCAGTGTAAGAGAAGTTTCAAAGAGAGTATTCCTACATGTGCTGAGATATCCCTGAGACCATCTCATGGACTCCTATTGGTCCACAGATATAAAATGAAAATTTTTGTTGGGATAACTGCTACTTAAATCAATTTCTCTTCCTCTTTAACAGTCACTGCGATCACTGTCTATTGTAATGAAATCAGTATTTGTACTCTGGGTAACAACTGTCTAATCAATTTACCCTAATTAAAAATTACAGAAATTAGCCTTTATAAACCAGATTATTAGTAATTACAATTAATTTGCCTGGTTTGGAAGTCAATATTTTTGTCTAAAAGTTATTCAAATCAGTCACTCTCTTTTTCCAGTTAACAGCTATTGAAGTCAATTTCTCTTTGCTCTGGTAAACAGCTATTCAAGTCAATCTCTCTTTGCTCTGGTAAACAGCTATTCAAGTCAATCTCTCTGCTCTGGTAAACATCTATTCAAGTCAATCTCTCTGCTTTGGTAAAAAGCTATTCAAGTCAATCTCTCTGCTCTAGTAAACAGCTATTCAAGTCAATCTCTCAAATTTTGTTTGTAGCTAGAGAGATCAAGCTCTCTGTTCAAGTTGTATACTATTTAATTTTTTTATTATTATTCTTAATAACATCCCTATCAACATCCGTATGTGTAATTAGTCCAACTTTTCTAATCAAGTTACCATCTACTGAAATTCACCTCTTGAAACTGGTTGCTAAACTTTCATGCTTAAAAGCATACGGTTTTTAAAAAGAAAATTTTTTCTTAAGAGAGCGTACTTGCATCCTAATTAATAAAACTTACAAATTAAAGCATCTCAACCTGCTAATGAAAACTCCTTAATACAAACACTGTTTTCATCATCACTTACATTCTAATTAATGAAAATAAGAAACTAAAGTATCTAGACCTGCTAAGGAAAAGTCCTTTTATACAAAAACAGTTTTCATCACTAGCTCTAGCCAAAACTTTAGTAAAATAAATCTGAAAGAACAAAAACCTTACATTTATCAAATACATGCATGTTTTAATTTGCAAATCTTAAAAATCAATTCACGAAGAAGGAGGCAACAGCAACAGAGTTAAACATGTATAAAATGACAGCTTCACAATGTCATAATTTAAAAGTAATGTGAATGTGGTCTAAATTAAAAATGTTAACATTTACTGATTAAACTCTTTTAGGTATATAAGACAGAAACAACTTTTTGTTTCTTGAACTTCAAGGGGAAGTCTCTGAAAGAAAGCTTAAAAAAAAGAAGTTATTTTCCAGTTGGAACACTAACAGGCTGATTTTCAATTGGAACATATCAAAGTTTATTTTTATTGAAATTTACTTTACTCTGGTAGGTAAGTTTGACTAAGCAAAATATTGATGAACTGAATAAAACTAAGTACCAGAAGACAAAGAAACAAGTACAAAAACTTACATCAAGAAGAGCATGAAGCTGGGAGTCTTCCAAAACAGAAAGCAGAAAATCTCTTTCTCGTTCACTACAGTCTGTAAGGCAGTGAATGTCATCCAAACTGTCCAACACAGCTGAAACAGCTCCTTTGAAAAACAAAACTTAAAATCATATGGTTCCTGTAACTAATAAATAACATACAGTTAACTAATTTCTTAATGACTTTATTTGAGAAGATTCTGTAAGATAATTAACTAAACAAAATCCTCATTACACTAGTATAGTGTTTCTTGGTTAACATTCCAATTAAATCGAACAAGGTAAAGAAAATTAAATTCTGAAATCAAAAATTTACTAGAACAAATTGGTTTCTTGAAATATCAAAGTAGTAACAATAAATTAGATGCAGTCAGCAAAAAAAAACAGAGTATGTGTTTGTTTTTATGTAATCTACTGATCTTTATTTGATTAAATTCTAATTACATTGTTTCTTAAGGTTCAGAAAATCTTAAGTAAGACAATCACCTTTTATTCACTGACAAATCACAATCTAAAATAATTAGCAAGCAACTTTTTCACTTGTCTTGAAGGGCAAAGTTCTAATAATTGAATTCCAAGACTATGGCATTAAGGGCCACTTCTAACCCAATCCTAACATGAAGCTAATGTAACTTAAGGGTTAAGCCCTGAAGTCCTAATATTAAATTACGATGCAAATCTAATACAGAAAGACTAACTATCTTGGAACAAAATCTTTCATTAATGGCTCTTCTGGTACATAGATTACTCTTTCTAAGGAATATTTCTCTTAATCCCTCTTAACCTTTCTTCCTTCATGGTTACTGTCTAAATTTCCAAAAGCAATTAGAATTGAACCTGTAATTCTTTCCTTACATTCACACATAATCCATCTTCAGTCAACTGGATAGCTTAATGTTTATCACAGTAGTATTTAATTCAACTAACTACGAGTAAAGAGAAGGCACCAAACTCTAGCACAGAACATTATATAGAAATATAACAGATATTATTTACTAGCTAAAATATATATATTTAATTTTGTTATGGTTAATGTTCTATTATTATCTATATACCTATCTATGTCTCTCTCCCTCTATATATATAACACTTGCTCTGTCAGTTAGTTCTTCTAATCTTGCTCCTTGGTAGCATAATCTAATTATATTCTCACTATTTACCTCCTATTCATGTGCTGTACTAAAACAACACTTATAACTATAACCTCCTGATGTTTTTCATTCCCATCCCCTATATGTCCCCTTTTGTTTTCGTTCCCTACCATAGTTTTTCATCTACCCAAGCTAAAGGATGAAATAAATTACTTAACAGAACCTGCACTTTACAATTACATCCATTACTTCTAGCCCTAATTGTACTGTTTCTAACTTCTTGAAAGTCATTATTAGCTACAGTTCCTCTTGAAATACTGCTGCCCTCTCTTTATGTACTGCCTCTACTCTATTTATGATGGCCTTTAATTTCTCCTCCATCCTGCAAACTCTACAAACAAATTGCACATCTTAACCACTAACTATCTTAAAAGTGCATTCCAGTCCTGAGTTCCCAGATAAAACCCATTTCATGCACCTATCACACTTTAAAAGCTATGAGTGCTTAATACCATTGCAGTCTGGGAATAAATGATCAACATGAAATACAAGTAGCCTAAAGTTTGAGAATTAAATATATTACACTACCTTATCTTCTCACTAAAGTAATTAAATTTATCTTCAAAATAACAAGTGTCAAATAACTACTATTTAGATTATATTTATGTAAAAGTACAATATATTTAGCCTGTTTTATTACTTTCCATTAAGCTAAAGTCACATTACATTTGCTAAGCTTATTCTAACATTTGTAATGCTTACACCACTAAGCTTTAATTTAAAACATTAATCCTAGTATCATTATTTACCAACTTTATTAAATCAAATTAACTTTTTTTAATTAATACAAATTACTACAAATAAGATTAGTAATCATATTGTTAAACAGATTTAAATAAGATATTCTAAAAACCTAAAGAGCTTAATTTCCAAACATCTTCATCTAAATCTCCTAAGGTGGCCAAATCTCATGAGATATTACTGGGATTATGGTCAAAATTATTGTTAACAGTGATGGTACCCAACTGATGAAACAATGTATTCTAATTTTTATATGTAATAACTTAAGAACAATATATTAAATTAATTATATCAGGTTGATTTTTACTTATGGTCTATTTAGGTTACTTCCTTTGATCAGAAGTTAATATTAAAAACAATACTTTCTACAGAATTCTGAGAAAATTATATTCACATTTTACATTCAAGCAATTTAGAGCCAAAAAGATAGCCTAAGCTTTATACCATTTAAATACATAATTGCTGGCATTTATAAACCTGAACTGTAAGTATAATAATATCTAATGCTTTAAGTCTGATAAGTTACTCATATTTTCCTACAAAAGAAGTATCTTTTATTACACACATTAATCAAGATAAGGATAACAAGAGGTTAGTCGTAAATAAGTCTCAAAAAAATTTGTAAAGACAAGATGATTAGTTTTCTTAGCTGTCAACTATTATTTCTGGCCTAATGCATAGGCACAGATTTCTAATTAAAACAAACAGTTGAACTTTAACTGTAACAACCTTCTCACTGTTTTAATGAGCAGACTAACCAGTTAGAACCTCCTTACAAAAATAACATTTGTTAAATTACAAATAATCATACCTGGAAATATGCTCAATTCACCCTAAGTATCTAAGATTATAAATAACAATACTATTATTGTTGAACCATAGAAGTGTTTGCTTGATATGTTAATACACAGCTTATATTAGGAACACCATCTCTCATTAGGTAGTCTCAAAACCCAAACATTCCAACCTTATAAATCTAATTTTGATTTTTAATTTCTCAAGTTAACACCCACAATGAATTTTACTTTCACACGGAGATGGAATACTAAAGGAGAAAGGACTGTGGGAAAAATTTAAGGTATAACTGGTTCAAAAAATCAAACAGCCACAACAGGCATAGTATAAGAACAACCAACCTTCTTGGCCTTCAACAGTATGTCATACAAAATATATGCAACAGTCACATTTTCTTTTTGACAATAACAATGACCTAACTAATTAAACTTACACTGTTGTAACACAGTATTGTGTTTAACAATTTAACAGTCCTAAAGACAATGTGGCCAATTTTCTAGACTCTCAACAATGTCATTCAAATAAAGAAGTGTTCAATAAGTCTAAAAAAAATTTTAATTAAAGACAATGTGATTAGTTTTCTTAGCTGTCAACAATGTCTTATAAAAAAATAAATGTTCAATGATTTTATACAATGTTTGAAAATATAATGTGATTAGTTTTCTTGGCTGTTAACAATGACTCATCAATAAAGATGTGTTCAATAATCTTCCACAATATTTGTAAAGACACTGTATATTTTTTCTTAGCTGTCAACAATGTCTTATAAAAAAATAAATGTTCAATGATTTTATACAATGTTTGAAAATATAATGTGATTAGTTTTCTTGGCTGTTAACAATGACTCATCAATAAAGATGTGTTCAATAATTATTTTACAATATTTGTAAAGACACTGTATATTTTTTCTTAGCTGTCAACAATCTTTCATAGCAAAATGTATTGAGCACCTACAATATTAAATGATGTAATCAAACTATTTGTTTACCAAAAAAACATCTCATGAAATAATCCAGTAATTCCCAATCAGGTCCTGAGTTACAAAACACACAAATTGTTGCACCATTAGATAATTTATATTAACAGTGAAATTCTCACATTATGATATGCAAGTTACAGACAACTTAATAACTGAATGATTCGTCAACTCATGATGGACATAAACTAAATTCAGAAAAAAACCAAAAATGCAGTGCTAGTTAAACAGCACAGTGCTCCAACATGTTGAGACAAGTATAAACTAATGTACATGTACATATCAATTTGTAAAATCTCAACAATCAAATTTCAAATTCCTTCAGGAATGTGACCTATATTATTCATATTCTCATTAAGATCATTACATTCTTCTTAAATATTGTCCTGCTGTAAACTGAACTAAAGTTTCAAACATTAAAGTTCTAGAACTAAATTTGTTACTGTTTTGAAAGGTGATTCACAAGAAAAATTAGCATTAATGACTCTCATGACAAAATATAACACTATAGTATCTGTAAATACTTACATATGTCAAGACTTATTATTTACATTAGGTCCTACACCATTAAAGCATATTTGTAACTCTTAAATAACTTTTTTGTAAATCATAATTAGATCCAAATGCTTGGTCAGAAGCTCCAAATGGTTTCTTTTTTCAGGGAACTGTATCACACAGCAATATAACTGTTACTATACTGTATATTTCAGCATGTAAAGCTATGCATCATGCAGAACATTTCTTGATATTTGAATCATTTTTCAGATGAAAGTTCTGCTCAACTCATAACACTCTACAACTGGAACATGATTACAACTTAAGGAGAAGCAAAAGCAAGTACCAGAATCTCTTAAACTATTAGTTGTTTGCTCATCATAACCTCTAGTAATTTTCATAAGGTTGTCAGTTGTGATAGTGACATCGCATTTTGCTCAAACACGTCATGCAATGCCTGATAATTGCCCAGGTTTTCTAGAAGTGTTTTCTCTTTTGTATGTAGGTAACCACCTAGTGGTGGAGCCCAAATATTTCTCTGCACAGTTAAAATGCTTGAATTTATAGATGATAAATATCTGCTTATTACCAAGAATAACATAATTAAAATGAAATAGATTTCTTCTTCCCCAATCATAACATGCTTTGACAAAAAGAAATGCCACTACTATAAATGACAACTTTGTGATAATTAATGAAACTGAAGATGAACAGCAGATACAAATTCAAGAGTCTGATGAAAGCAAACTGAAACCAATGGTATAAGACACTTCTGATTTTTTTTTCAAATTGTACATTTCTTCTAAATTTTTTAATATTATTAAGTCTTTAGATCATTGGATCATTAATTTTAAGTGTTAATGAAATAATGTCAAACAGCTCTTTTATATCATTTTATTTGGTCAACACATTTAACATTTCATTTTGGTTTTCTGAGCATATTTCTTATAAGTTAAGAAATACCATTCAGTTAATAAAACTTTGTTTTACACTGTAAACTTTAAAACATCATTAACTACATTAATCAAAATGATTGTTAAATTATATATATATAAATTACATATATATATGTTAGATACATATTTTCTGTTTTGTTTTTTCTTATTACAAACTTCTAAATATTCTTCTGACCATTAAGTTTTGTGATTGTTAACATAAAGATATATATATATATATTTATATTATTAATCACTTTACTTCTACATATTCACCAAATCCATATTTTGTAATAATTACTATAATTTATATTACTTTAAGAGTTTTTGTAAGTACAGTAAAACCAATGAGAGCCAGCAGTTAGACTTTAGGAATCTTGCATGGCTGCAACACAGCATTCTTTGAAGCACTGATGTTTGTTGTGAAGGTATGTTGCACTCTTCATAAAAAATCAGTGAATAAATATGAGTATTACTCTTTGTTTGCAATATCTTGTTATCTACTAATCTAGATTGGATATTTTAATAAGTAATATGTATAGTTGATATTATTAAAGGCTAGCATAAAACTGAATGTGAAGACAGTGATATTGTAATGCATCAAAAACTACCATCCTGAATGGTCTTCTCTATTTTTTCTGCATTACTATGTTAAATATTCTTTGACATTTAAACACTTACACCAATCATGCTTATGTTTATGTATGTTACGAAAAAAAACAGAACATAGAGTAATGAACAAGGATGGAAATTAGCTTCATTAAGTTCAAACATTTACTATTATCAATAACTGTGTTATTGCATGAGATCATATTTTTATTCTGATTCTTAACAGCATTATATCATTTAATCATATTTTTACTGTCATTCTTAATGCTACTATATCATACGACCCACTTTTATTATTATTTTTAACTGTACTATGTCATGTGAGCATATTTTTCTTCTAAACTATATTGCATCACAATCATGTGTTCATTGATCAGAAACGAAACAAAATAATTCTTTTGGAATATGGACTTTTCTTCTCCAGGGTTAAATGGTAAACAACTGTTGTAAAAATGTTTATCAGTTATGTGAAACAACTTTGCATGTGCATGTAATGTGTAAATAATAGGAAACCAATAAAAAGTAGTTCTGAAATAAGACCATCTTAGAAGAATATGTGTCGTATAAGAAGTAATGTTGATAACAATTATAGTGGAGATTTATCAACAAAATGATTATTAAGTACCACTGTTGATAAATTTCCTAGTTTTTCTGGACTTACTTCATGTACAGACATATATTCTTCTAAGCAGTTCTTTCTTTCCAACCTATTCTTTCTCTTTGTTCCCCATCAGTAAAACATCACACACACACAATGTTTCCGGTAGAACAAGCATATAACTGATTAAAATGTTTACAATGGTCTTTTATCCCTGATGAAGAAAAGTCCACTTTCCAAAAGTTTCTTTTCTGTTGATCCTGTATGCTGCATGCTTTTGAATATGATAGATAATATTTTATTGTTATCCTTAACTGCATTATGTCATGTAATCATATTTATAATTATTCTCAACTATTTTAGATTATGTGGTCTTTAGTTACTCTCCATCAGAAACATCTTACATAGAAGGAAAAACATTACTAGACTACATAATCATAAGGAATTGTAATAACTATGACAACTTATAGCTGATTCAATCGTAGTTGAAATATTAGTTTTCTTAGTGCTTGCCGTGAATGAAGGATGCTTCAACATAAATTTGCATCAAATACCTTGCAGCACAGAATTCCTATCTGAACGCTTAGTATTCTCATAAGAAGATCTATATAATGATTCTAAATATAGGAAAATAATGGTAAACTACAACAGCTGATACTCTTTAAGGCTGTAGGCCTACATTCTCACTGGTACAAGTAAGCTTCAACTTTCCTAGGCCCAAAAATTCATCCTTATGAGAATTAAAAAATCCAGATAGTTCATTCTATGGACACACATGCACATGTGTGTGTGTCAGTGATGTAAGCTAGAGAGTATACAGTGTAAATTACATAAAACAGGTTGGTTGTGAGACATAATGAATCAAACTTTAGTAATGGGATTTCTTACGAAACTAGTGGGCTTTCACTTATTTTCAGGAACACAAATCTCATGATGTGCTAGACACAGAAAGATATTTTGTATTTATGGCAAAAGCTACTTAAGTTACCTCCTATTATCTCTGGTTTTGAATTACTGACCAGAGGGAAGGGAGCCAGTCAGAAGCACCCTAACACCCACTATAAGTGCTAAGGGATTGACTGCCATTCTTATAATGCACCATCAGTTTAAAGTGCAAGATATACTATTTAATATTACATGGATTCAAACTCAACTCGCTAGCTCTGAAATCCAGAGTTATACCATAAGGCCTATCTGCACCTTAACAGACAGGAAGTATGAAAGGTAAACACTAAATGGTAATAAATAAGTATTTGAGAGCTTCAGTAAACCTTTTTCTTTTTTATATAATTGAGGTATCAGGATTCAAACAAAACACTCACAAAAAGTTTCTCACTTCATCATTTCAAGTACTTTTGAAAGCTTCAATTTATAACTTGTAATTCAAAATTACTTGACATAATTATTATTATTTTTTTTCTAATTAAGTTTAATCAAATAACTTAATTTAAATTTTTCTATTTCAATCTCCTTACAATATTTATTTTGTTGGTAATTTCTTATTTATCTTCTTTACTTGCATGCCAGTAGTTTATTCATATATAATTCAACTTTGTGTAATACCTACCATAGATTACAGCCAAACACATTTTTGGTACAGTGTGTCAGTACAAGTAATATTATCTTTTATACTTCTTTCTAATTGTTACATATCAGATAGCCATAACACTTTACACTGATTTATTGTAATTGAGCTCATATTTCTTTCACAAATTAAACTAACAGATATATAATATTTTCCATCATCTAGTTATTAATATACCCTTAGTCTTCGACTTAAAGATAATCATGTAACCTATAGTGTTTTGAATACAGTGACTGTTTTGGATTTCTTTAAATAATATTTAAAATTACATGGATCTATTTGGATTTACCAATACAAGATAGTACCATCTTGTTTGTGGAAGTAAGTAATATTATTTTCAGTAGGCATCGAGAAGTAATAAAAAAAAACTATTTTTGAACAAAAGAAATTTGTCTTACCAGCTGATGTAACTTCATCATCAATTCCAAATTCAGAAAGGCCATCAAGTGGTGGTTCGATATAAAAATTGGTCCATTTTGGGCTTGCCACAGCTGCTAAAACTGCTCCCTACAATATAGAAAAAATATATTGTTTCAAGAACAACTCAAAACTGTTCTGTATTATGATGGCCATTAATCAATACATATTGCACAGTTTTGACTTTATAGATTCACTATGAAAATAATTTTTTAATATCTAACAACAATCTGAATGTTTGAACAGCAAATATCTTACTTCCAATATTTAGCTTAAAGCTGGTTATTCCTGTTTTTAAAAATAAAACGTTCCCTTATTTTCAAGGTGGTTTGGGCAGCTCATTCAATATCTTCATGTTCTTACTTTTTAGCAACTTGTGAATTAATATATCAATCACAATAGCATCCAGTTAAAAGCAAAACATACACAACGTTTTTAGGGAAGCTGATCAACAAGTTGTGGAGTTGAAATTCACCAGGGGTGCTGATAGACAGATCAGATTTCCTACTCAAAAAAGTAAAATCATTTGACTTATCGATGATCTATGAGGAATACCTAAATAATGCAGAAAAATAAATACAGTAGATACAGTGTGCAGTTTTCAGGAAACCTCATTTAACTCTGTGGAAACACAGGATGTTTGGCCAGAAACAGCAAAGAACAAAATTACAGTAGAGGATACTAGCAATGTAGATAGCAAAGTGAAATTTGCAATTGTTTTGGTCAATAACAATCTGTGACTGTAAGCATATCAATGATGTACCAAGACACAAAACAAACTTTAGAAAATCTCCCTGAAAAACCTAGCTGAAAGAAAAGTGAGGAGGAAGCTTGTTAGTTGTTGAAGTTATACACAAAGGGCTATCTGTGTTCTGCCCACCATGGGTATCAAAACCCATTTTCTAGCATTGTAACTCCACAGACATAGAGCTGTGTCACTGGAGGGCATGGGGAGGAAGAGTAATAATGAAGCTATTAATGTACAGGTTGAAATACAAATTAGGTTAACATAAGGAGCAAAAGTTATTGTTAAAAAAATTAAGTTGAATAATTATAATAGCCATACAAAAACACTGTTATTGTAAGAGAACTGGACTCTCAGACATTTTATTCGGACAAAAATTAATCCTACTTTTGAAATATTGTCTGTTCCTAGAAAGTCAGAGAATAAGATGAAATATTGGCTGTTCCTAAAAACTAAGAAATAAATGAAGTACTGTCTGTCCCTAAAAAGTTAGAGAATAAGACTGGTGAAAACTACAGAAAATGTTGAAAACTCAGTCAAAAGACATCTGAAGACCAACTTTTCCAACTTAAGACTTCCTAAGCAACATGATGTGTGGGTGGAAAGATAAATGAATAATAAAGTTTGTGTATAGATTTAAACTCAGCAAATTCAACACCAGGAAATAATATGAACTAAGTCATACAGAAAGTGTGTTATGTGAAATCATGAATATTTTAAATATAACCACAATAATTAATACCTAAAATTGTTTTCTATTCAATTAATTAAATTGCTAACAGGCAACCTTTATGTATTTAATCAACTGTCAATCTCTATTAAATACATCAAGTCATACTTTATCAAGAAGTCCACACAATCCCAAAATATTTTGGTTAAAAACTCGTACACATATATGTAAGTATGTTTATAACAATATGGAACAATAATAAAATTGAAATACTCTGTTTTTACAAAATCATATGAAATTATTTTGAACAAGAGCCTAAACCTAATTATCATATGTCAATATTATTTAAGATGAGATATCTAAGGATTAATGGAATGAAAAAAAATATTTCTCCAATCAAAGTAATACATAAAATATTATACTGAGGTTAATCATACTTTATAAGAACAATCTTCTAGGTCCCACACTTGCTTTGGAAGTACTTCTTCCATTACATATTGTGCTCATTATTGCCCAATACTGCAATTTATTATTGTAACAAGTTTCTTTGAAAAGTAGCAAAATCACATGTAGACTTTTAAATCTTGATAATTTTTCACGAGTATCACTATATACACATGTCAGCTTCCAATACCATGTTTTTGAAAAACAAAGGTACAACAGTATACTGGAGCTGCATTTGGAGAGTTGAGAATGTACGTGGTGTAATAAGATTGCTTTGGCCATCCTTCATGAAAATAACTAGTCATTTTGAGGTATATCTGAAAACTTATAAAACTTTTAGCTTGTGAGCCTCTGTCAATTTCAAATTCAAATGTCTAGTTGTACAACAATGACCTGTTTTAGGCCACAGAGGTTCTCTTAAATAATCACAGCCTTCACTTTGTGGATGAGTGCATTGCTCCAGACTGGCTTGGGGTGTGATTTTTGAGTATGTTACTAAAATGTTTTACTCTGCTAATTCTTGTTTCTATGTTAAATACTGAAGTTCTTTCAAGAGGTGTGTTGACTCAATATCATTTAACAATCTAGAATATATTTATCTTTGGAAAGTTTACATATCTAACTCAGCCATAAGTCTATCCACAGTGGCATTGCACCTGTCAGTGGTCAAGAATTTACCATAACCCAAATACACAGATGCAAAATACGATACCAATGGTGCCAATTCATTAGTCCACAGACATCATTAAAATAACAATGTGACTAACTATGTACTAGTTGTTGATTTTTATGACATATTAAATGTTCTTTATATGAAATATTCTAAATAACATAGAATGAAAGTTAGAATATGTTAACAGATACAATATACAGAAATACTGAAGAAATCTATAGATATGCATTTTGAAGATCCTAGAGGTTATTCAAGTGCGATATGCTAGCTGTACGATGGACAGAGGTATTTTTTATTCTTCACATGAACATTGCCTTGCACTCCAATTTGTTAAAGTTCAAGTCAGCCTGACATTGTCAATTCACAAATATATCTTATGTACATATACTTTTGTAACACATCTGATTTTATGTGTATGTTAGACTTGTACATTTTACTAAAACCTTGCCATATTCTCTGTAGCTATATGTAGTAAAGTTAGAATTATAGTCAACATTCCTTCTTTAATACAGAGAAAGTTCAGTGAACTGATCCCATGCCCATTTGGTTAATGAAGGAAAAATGTTCAATAAAAAGTTTTATAAAATTGTTATATCTAATTTATCAAAGAACTGTAGTTTAATTACAATTGGATAACAAGATAAACCTTTTAACACCTGCCACACAAGCCAGCCCAGTACCTTGATGTGGATCGACAAAAACGAGTCTTCTCAGAAAAGTTTTAAGTGTTTTTATTAAACAAAAAAGAAGACATTAGGCACTATTTTCAAGGTCTAGGCATTGGACCAGACCTGTGACCAAACCCAAGACCATGACAGCCAACATAGAGAAGTTAACTTGTAAATGTAAAGTAAAACAGTGTAGCAATTAAGTTAAACCATGGGTTCAGGTTAAATGGGGAAATAACTTATTCGAAGACATCCCAATTGGTTTGACATAAAAATTAAATTGGAGATTCATCAATTGATTACTGCATTGACAGCAAAAACAAAAAATGGGCACAATAGTATAAATATCTTCAAAAAGAGGGATTGGAATCATATATAAGAAATCATTAGTTTCAGTATTTTGTGAAACTAACAGCACAGTATAGCCCAAAGATGCTGTGTTGAAGTTGAAGCAGATGCACAATACAAGATGATTTCCCTTACAATTCTCAAATTAAGAATGACATTTCTGCAATGAATAGTAAATATAAAAAGGATGGTATGTCCAGTAGGATACCACCAAAATATAACCCATATAGATTTCATCATGTCACATGTTTATTAATATATTTTTTTTTTATTGTTTTAGAAGTTGTGCCAAGCTTCATTCATCAAGACCTATCAAAATAACCCTAAATCACCAGTTTCCAGAATGACATCCCCTGTTGACCATCCTAGGATCAGTACTAAAACATGCTGGGCTAGTTCAAGTGGCAGGTTTTAACAAGTAGAAAAGCTAGAAACAAATCTCATATCTTTATACTTTATGAAATTTATAAAATTATAGAATAAAACTGAAGGCTAAATTTTTCTTTATGTCATTATTTTTCTAATTTCTACTTGAAATATAAAATAATAATTTGTACAACATAAAACTTTCCTTCAGTTTTCTTATGAACAAAGTCTTAAAATCAACTTATTTCTTTAACAGTCATCTTCTGATGACAAATATTCTACCTTAAGTTTTCTTCTAGCATTAAACTTCCTCAGTTCTTCAACTGTTTCCTGAAGATGGAGTTTTTGAGCACAATGATCTCGTTCCTGAGAATACAATATTCTAGTTAGAGATAAGATACACTTCTTATGATCTCCACTTTTCTTAGAACTTTCAGCATAAATTAATTGTTTTTTATGGAATTTATTCACTTTTTTATACATTTGCATTTCATTTCATGTATGTAACTAATGTTCATTAATATTAAAATACATAAATATAATGCAAAATTAACCATTATTGTACGGTCATTAATTCCAAATATTAAGTAGCTTAAAACTAATAATCAAACAAAATATTACATAATTATATAAAATTTAAATATTTTTGTAGATATTGCATACATATAAATTCATTCTTCATAAAAAAAACAAAAAATAACTTAAAAACCCAATTTTATAGAGAACAAACTATTAGACCACGATACAAAAAAAGAGCAAAAAGGAATAAACAAAGCAGGATTAAAAGTTAACTGAAACAATGCATAAAAATCTGAAACAATGCCCATGAAAACTTTACTCTTGTCTAAAATGCTGCCATTGTTTTAAAAAAAAATTAGATTTTGGTAACTGAAACAATATCAACTCTGATACTTAATAAACAGTGAAAAAGAGAACGTTTAAAAAATTTATTTACAACATAATAATAAAGGAATCTTACTTTGAGCCATAAGTGATCTAAGGCATCATCAACTGTTATTCGTTCTTTAGAGTCAACAGTTAACATTTTCTGAACCAAGTCTTTAGCATAATCAGTAACATGGTCCCATGGTCGTCCTGCTAACTAGATTTTAAAAAATAATTATATTTAATTTTCAGTATTCAAAAAACAAAGTAACTGTTAATATAAATTTCTAACACTTATATCATAACTATTCTTTTTTTTAAATTATATTTTCTCTCTATCATAAATATGTTTACAAAATAAATAACTCATTTAAAATGGAGGACACTATCCTATGGATTCAAAAGGAAGGAGCATCAGCTCCCTAATAAAACTAATTATGGCAAACATTCAAACAAACATCTTTATTAACTTTTATAAACAATGAAATGAACTTCATGCAGTGATATGCAAAAAATCTGCTTTAAATAGCAGTTACAGGTGTTTTTGTTGTTTTCTATTTTTTTCTGTCTCTCTGTGATAAAATAAATCTATCAGAGATATAACTAAAAACAGTCATAAAGGACAGTTATTAACTTGCACAGAACAAATTCTATCTCAGGTGTCCCATAAATAATAGCCTTAGAGAAATTTAATCATCTGCTATTAAAAATAGTTTGGTAACAAGGTTCTGGAGCTTTTACAATATTATAAAAGTTACAATGCACTTTAAGTAGGAAAAGTAATGTTTACAGGAAATCAGTCAAAAGTAACCTATCATTAACATTACATTTTATCATTTTGAAAAATAGATTTAAATAACAAAAAAAACTGAAAAATAATTTACCTTTAATCAAGTCTGAGTAATAAAACTGTTTTTCAAGATAAGTCTTCATTAAATTTCAGTATTTCAAAAAGTTTATAACAAACTTATATTTAAAGTCAGAATTTGAAACTTTTAATGTTTTTATTATGTTTAAAAACCATTATAAAATTTCATACATTGAGACGTCCTTGGCAAATGGAATCATACAAGCGTTCCTTGGTCCCCAAAAATGGGAGTGTTCCAGAAAGTAACACGTACAGAAGCACACCACAGCTCCATACATCTGCTGGCTTTCCATATGGCCGTCTTTTGATGACTTCTGGTGCCATAAAATGAGGAGACCCAATTCTTCCTATTTAACAAAAATACAGGAGTTTCTAAAATTTATAGCATTTTATTTTGAAAACATTACTATATATTTCATGTATATTAACAACTTAAATGTTAAAAATAAAAAAGATACACATTCTTAAAATAACAACTCACTATTTGACTGCATAAAACTCAGTATAAATAGTATTTGTTAACAATATAATTCTTCACAAGTAGAAAATTTACTTAAATTAGGTCAAATTTTAGGCACTTTTACCATAAAGTAATGCAAACTTTACAATCAAAATAATTCATAACATACATTTTTTTTTTGTGCTACATATTTTATTAGTGATCAAACCTTTGTTAAAAACGGAATATCTTTACTGAAAAAAAAAACTAAAGTGATGAAAATTTCATCAGTTTAACTTCTTTTTTTTTCAAGCTGTTACATGTATTTTCTTGAATTTAATTTCAACTGATAATAGAGAAAAAATAAATCTTCAGGATTCAGGAAGATATTAAGAATGTGGCTTAGTAAATAATCAAAGGACTGTGTGTAAACTGTCTTTCTGTCATCAAACTTTACGTTTATCTAAAAAACTGTGATATGTTACTCTAAAACTATGGGTCCAACCTTGTCTTTCTTACCATGTTCATCACACCTCATGTATAAGCAGCCCTTAGGGGACAACCCCAGTTGATACTCATTCACATTTTGCTCTGTGAAAATTAAAATTATTTGCTCACATACACGAAACAAAAACACCAAACACAAAATCTTAAATTCACAAAAGTTCAAAAACAATTTTTTAAATAACTATTAGTGAACATGCAACATTAGAAAATCATATTAAACAAATTAAATTTACTTCAACATGCCATAAAAAAACAAATTAAAAAAACTCAATTGCATATCTCCTGATTTTGCTTTTACTCTTATAGCCACTACTCAGATGGAGGAGTAATTTTGTGATAAAGAACAATATAGTATATTTTTAAAATATTTAAGTGCTGTTGAAAGAATGGAAACCAGAAGTCTCTTAAAAATGTATTAAAGTATGTAAAGTTTAGTGAAAATTTTTTTATAGAAATGTTCAGAACATTTAGATACAAATGTGAGTACAGTATTCAGTTTTATCATTATGGTATTATCTCTAGGTTATGCATCTATTTTTGACAAAGAGTATGATTAGTTTACATTACAGGCAAGATAAGTGTCATTTATAGTTCTAACAAGTAATTCTTTCATTAAATTCAACACTTAAAAGGAAAATAATATATGTATATATACACACACACATAAAGCTCATTTATCCTGAACAGTATTTTTACAGTAGGGGAATAGTCTATTAAAATAATAATATTAATAGGAGACTACATAAACAAAATTTGATAAGGTAGCGACTAGGAAATAGTGTTTTCTAACCTATTTTATGCTAAAAAACTTGTTGTCCAATCATAAGTTTGAAATAAAAGCATCACTACTCTTAAAAATAAAACATTTTGCTTCTTTCATTTATGTAGACATGCTCTTCATGTCCAAAATACAACCTATGTTACTATGAAATGACTGATGCATGCACAAAAGAATAAAAATAGCAGCTACAGTTGAAACACTAACATTCTCTCACATACATCATTTAGTACAAACTCTTTGATAATAGCATAAAGCATAACAAACTTAAGGTACATACATACATACACTTTATAAGCTGGTACTGTGGTGAGAAACTTGATGTGCTGTAGTTTTATACAGGTCTGTTACATGTATTGCTTTAAAGAATATTATGTAATAGAATCTCAGTTTACTAGGTGTATAATGAAATAATTCTAACAAACAGAAAAGATAATTCTACAAAGACATCAACTATAGTTATTCTAACTTAAGCACTTTTATTAAACAGATAACTATATACTTTAGAAACAGAAGCAAAGAACAACACTGTCCAAGAAATTGAATAACCTATACTTATAATGAAGGTTTATGATGCACTAACTACCTTCATCAGTGTGATCTCCTTTCAGTTGGATGGCAGCTCTAAACCCTTCTATCTTCACAGGGGCTGAGTTCTCCTTACTGGCAAGAAGGATACAATGTGGACTGATATCCCTGTGGATGATGTCATTGTGGTGGCAGTATCGGACTGCATCAAGGATTTGTCTCATGTAGTGGCTGGGTGTTACAAAGTTTTGTATATGAATTAAATATTAGAAAGAACTATGTTTTTTTTTTATTATTCACACAAGTTTTTATTGGTTGTACGTAGTAAAATCTTTGTTTATTCTATTCACCAAGTTTACCTAGCATCATCAGGTGAAACATTATGAATAAAATAAACAAAAGTTTTACTATGTACATTCAATAAAAAACTTGTGTAAAAGTTTTATATACATTATCTGATATAAATACATGTGCTTAATCAATCACAGTTATGAAACATACTTAAATACCTTACTCTGGTATCAAAGAATTGTTAAGGAAGATAAAAATGACTTGTTTGCTATGTTAGCATAAATTGCTTAAAAAAAAACTAATCCTACCAATTTACCAAGACACTAAGAAATTACCAAGGGTGAACAGAATTTGATTATTTACTACATAAGAAAGTAAAACCCTATTTGGAAGCTAGAGAGAAAAATCCATAAATTATCCATTTAGCTTACTGCTAAAAAATGCTGAGAATAAATAGGGCTTTACAATTAAAGTGTAACTGAAATAGGATGAAGAGAAAAATGGAAACTTGTCTGTTTATCATAACACTAAAACGTACTGAAAGAAAATATGATTTACCTGCTTACAGTGTGGTTGAAGAACTACAAAAGGAAATTAGATCAAGAATGTACCATGCAACTGAACAGATAAAGAATGGGCAAACCTAAAATTACATATTAACTGTGATAAATAATAGTCTTAGAAGGAAAGTTTCATACCTGGTAACTGCTTCACTGTATACAAATCCTGCTGTTGCTCGTTTAACAATTTCTGTGCAAAGATCTGTCCCTTCCATGCTTCACAAAAGAACAAGAAATGGTTTAAAACAGACAAAAATGATAATGAGATGAAATTCTACTTCATTATATAAAATGAAAATACGAAAAAAAGATAAGGTATTTAAAGCTTAGATTTAATTTCGGTATAGGAATGTGCAGAAGTAACAACACACACACACACACAGGACAGAACATAATTCCAAGTTAAAATTGATCTAAATGAATATTTGATTACTAAAGTATATTAAATCACCAAACCATCAGATCTCATTAATAAATTTGCAACAGTTTTCCTAAATATTTGCCAAAATGCTTCTTTTGATTGCCACTAGATGGTACTATTGTTACAGCTAATAAAAAGCGATCCAATATGGGCTATTTTCTCACAACTTCAGTATTAATAAATAATTCTAAGCAAAATTTATATTACCTGAAAAAAAAATCTTTATAAAGGAATCAGATTTACTCTACTGGGGATAATATCAAAAGTTACATTATGTTTGTGATAGCAAAAACAAATAAGAAAAATACAAAAATACATCTTGATACTTGGATAGGGCTATATTTCATTACGTGACTTTAAAAAAAATGTTATAATGAAACTTCAGTTACTGTAAGTTCACAGATAAAATTATATGTAGAAGTTAATGTAAACAGCGCTATATATAATCAATGAGCGACTATGGAACGTTTGGAAGCTTTTCATTTTTGTTTTATTCTTATAAAGTAATTGAACTATTATGCACTTTATCCATTCATACATACACAAGGCAATATTACTCACAAAAATTAATTCTTTTTGACGCTTAGACTTAAACCTTCTTCAGTAAATTTTGAATCGACGACAATAACATATTTATTCAATTTGATTTATAGTGTGTTAACAATGTTTACACATGCCGTGAGTCCCCCGTGACCCTTACCGTAAAGTTGGAACTTAAACTTTATAAAAGCAGTTCAATATTAAAAAAAAAAAGTTTGAAAGTTCTTTAAACATATTCTAGTCGCACACACACTATTTTTTAAATATCTCTACGCCTGCATATGTGCTTATAAATAAATCGTCGATTTCCGCTACACTTTTGTTTTGGCTATATCAGATTAGTCGTCACATTAGCTGTGATTTCGTACATCAACGAAGAAGGGCGATGTATAATTTACATCTACATGTGGATTTTATAGAAGGTACATGCCGCTTCGTAATATCAATAAATCTGAAGTATTACATGCACTTGTATCACATGAACGAATACACCGCTATTAATATTCTAGAAACATAAACTCGGAGCACAAATCGTAACAAAATTCCATAATTTCTAATCGTTTAGGCTTAGGGTTAATCACATTGTTAACTAGGAAAACCTGCTTACTAATAAGACATTTTTTTTTCAGAATGGTCACATTCTTTGTTGTAAAGCACAAAGTTACACAATGGGCAATCTGTGTACCAAACAATATGCGTCATTTAATGATAGGCAATTCTCCAAGTGATAAGATTTAGCAGTGGGTGTAGAAACCTGATTTTTAGCATCATAAGCCCATTGACTTACTATTGGTTACATATATCCATTCAAGTTAGAATCTTTCCAATACAGAGGAAATTACAATTAACAAACAACTAAAGACAAAATATAAACATCCGATTTAAAAAAAAAAACATTTTGTTATTGTTAACAAGTCTTAATGGCTAAATTCCAAATTTAAATGGGTGGGTGTGTGATAAAATGTAAACAATGAAGTTACATGTGTATGGAGCGTTAATTTGGTTTACTTGTGGTACGTATCTAACGTATAATAAATATATTAAGTGCGAAAAATAACAACAAAAGGCAACATCATAAGTGCTTCTCACCAATACACTACCAAACAAACCGTAGTTCGTAAATGTCTCAAATTAGTCAACGACAATACTCTCGTCATCATTTATTTTTAAATAATATAAAGTCATAATATCCTCGTTTAATTTGTAAACAGTTTCAAACTTAAACATACAACCAGGATCATTTTAGCAGCATACTCTTAACTGCAGCTACCTTTTCTGTAAATGCGATCTTTATAGTCCAATCATTATAATTCGAACCCAGAACACACTGAAAAGGTAAAAAAAACCTGGTACACTGTGTCTTTAAATATCCTAAGGTATCTAATATTGGGGTATCTAGATTTTGGGGTGAGAGTTGAATTTTTGATGAAAATTCATGAACAAATGGAGATCATTGTAACATCGCTATTGATGATCGGATTTGAGTAAAATGAAATTCATTGTATTTGTGTAAGTGTATTTTATAACATATTCAAATAGCAGTAAAATCCAATAAGCTAAAAATATTCATTTTGGCCAAAATGTTTTGTTCAATAATCATGAAAAACTGAATTTTTTTATTCAATGTACAGAACATTAGGATTCCTTGGATAAACTAAAAAGAAAAAAATTGCAATTATCAGTTTATAATTATTAGTTTATAATATACGATAGTTCTTAGAAATGGAATTTCCCATCTTCAAATATGAAAATTGGTTATTAATACGACATCCACTGCCAAATTTGAAGAAATAAAAGGGTTTATTTTGTTTAATTAACCTCCATCGTATACAAAAAAATCACAAACTCCTTGGAACTCATCATCTTTATTTTGGGGATAATTGCTTTTTACTTCAAATATCGTGAAAACTAGGAATTGCGTATCTATGTAGCGGTATGAATAATTTTATTTGAATGAAATATGAAACAACGAATTACATTTATCTGAAGAAGTAGTCTTAAGCTGCAACCGTCATATTTAGAGGGGGGGGGGTATTTATTCTGAAACAACAGAAATGGTTATTGCTTTACTAGAATTCAGTGGAATGAACTCCTATTTTTTGATCAATATTTCAAGAAAAGTTATTACATGTTTTATGTGTGTATTTTTTTCATTTTCGACATCAGTACATTCAGGCCGGATCAAATTTTGAAAGTCAAACACCTCGACATTCTCCACTAGTTCTGGAGCACATAATACGAGGTTTCTTGCAGCTACATCACAGACTCAAAAGCAGTCCGTTTTACAATTACATTTAATGACCTTCAATAAAGCATAGGAAGCTGGCAACTTATCTGCCTGTTTAGGAAACATTTCATCATTCTCAGTCACGTGGATTCATATTTTGAGGTGTTCCTTTCTACAGTCTCACTTGAAGAAAAACCTGTAGCCTATGGTACTTAAAAGTTGCAGACGTCGGGGGAAGTGTTTTTGCTTCTACATGCGGTTTACTGGATGCAAATTTTCTACAAAATATGTTGTATTAAACGAAATTCAAACATTATTTTATTTTCTATAAAACGTACTAGAACCTTCTCACTGGCACCGATCACTCGATTTAGTGTTGCATCCTCTCTTCCAAAAACACTTGCTTTCGAAAAAAATCGCTATTTCATTGAAACTTTTTCTGATACAAAAATACCCAATGTTGTATCGCAACCTAGCTATATACATAAATAAATAAGATGTTACGGCGCACATATGGGATTGATCGAAACATTATAACGCCCCGATGGATGAAAAAGCAAGCATGTTCGGTCAAAAGTTTTGATCCCACGACTCACAGGTTGCAAGTCGAGCACCTTAACCATCAAGCCATACCAGGCCCTATCTACGACAGAAGCAACCATAGGAACTGTTTTTAATATTTTGTTTACAAGTTAGGTATTGCTAACTAGTAACTAGAATATATTAAGGAAATTACTTATTCATGAACCACGATAGTGGTTCATAATAGGGTTCGCCAAAGAATCACTCAACAATTCTAACAAAAAATATGGGCAAAACCCATCTTAAAAAGTAGACTTGTTCTTGAAACAACACTCAAGACCTTCTAACTCAATGGCTAAGGCTGATAAAATATTGATAATAGGACAAAAGTCGATTTTCTGATTGTCAGACAAAATTCATCCATTTGTTCTTCATATTATCATTATTATTCATTTTATTCTTGTTTCACAAGCCTACAGAAAAAAGCGGCTACGAATATTTTATTCAAACCTGGGCAAACCTACTAAAAAACTGCACAGGTCATAGGACTATTTCTTATGTTGATTCTTGAAAGAGAGAGAAAAAACAAAACAAAAAAAACGACTACGAATATTTTACTGAAACCTGAACAATAGTTATAAATGCAGTATTCAGCATGTCATAGGGTAGTTTTAAAATTAATTCAAGCGCTTTCGTTTTTTCACCCTGAAGAATTTCTCTAGGTCCTTTAATTTCCGCCACTGAAAAAAAACGGGTGTTTTACTAATGCGCATTAATTGGAAAATAATTTGTGCAAGTTATAGCGCATTAAGCATTAATTGGAAACTGTCACGTTGCGGATTCATCATTTCTCGAGTTCGTTGTTGTACTTTGTCTCTGTGTGGTTTCCTGCGACTATTCCAGTGAGTTTTCTAGCATTAGATGATTACCAAAGTAGATTTCTCTATTCTTGTGAGAGATGATTTATTCTACTGATTTTAGTACTTAGGTCGTTGAACGCGTGTTTACACGAAACCTCAGGCACAAAACCAATTGGCTCATTAAATAATGGTTGGGTGAGAAAAAAAAAGCAAGTGCAGCAGTAAACTGTTGAAAAACATGCAACATTCGACTGGATGCATATGCGCGTATGTATAATAAAATGTATTATCCATAAATGGACATAAAAACTGTTAATTTAAAAATGGGAATAGGGATCGTCAAAAAAGTAAAGAAACAAGTTGGATCAAACGTACAACTAGGGACTCAAAAGAAAAACCTAAAACTAGGCTGGGAATAGTTTCTACGTTATTTTCTCAAGGTACAAATCCCTAATTTTAATCCACTATTATTGATAAGTAATGTAGACTATTTTAAGTTATCCTGTCTTTAATCACAACTAACAGGGTAGGATTAACAAACCCTTGAGGAACGAGCACTCAGACATCTGAGGGTCCTAGGCTTCGGCTTACATTTCGGATTTCTGAGAGTGTAAATAAAATAAACGAGTTAGAAAAATAATATATT